GAGGTCAGGAGATCAAGACAGTCCTGGCTAACGTGGTGAAACCCGGCCGGGCACGGTGGCTCAAGCCTGTAATCCCAGCACTTTGGGAGGCCGAGACGGGTGGATCACGAGGTCAGGAGATCGAGACCATCCTGGCTAACATGGTGAAACCCCGTCTCTACTAAAAAATACAAAAAACACTAGCCAGGCGAGGTGGCGGGCGCCTGTAGTCCCAGCTACTCAGAAGGCTGAGGCAGGAGAATGGCGTGAACCCGGGAGGCAGAGCTTGCAGTGAGCTGAGATCCGGCCACTGCACTCCAGCCTGGGCGACAGGCAAGACTCCGTCTCAAAAAAACAAAAAAACAAACGTGGTGAAACCCCATCTCGATTAAAAATACAAAAAATTAGCTGGGAGTGGTAGCGCGCGCCTGTAATCCCAGCTACTTAGGAGGCTGAGGCAGGAGAATTGCTTGAACCTGGGAGGCAGAGGTTGCAATGAGCCGAGATGGTGCCACTGCACTCCAGCCTGGGTGACACAGTGAGACTCCATCTCAAAAAAAATAAATAAAAATAGGATGGGCACGGTGGCTCACGCCTGTAATTCGAGCACTTTGGGACGCCAAGCTGGGCGAATCATGAGGTCAGGAGTTCAAGACCAGCCTGGCCAACATAGTGAAACCCAGTCTCTACTAAAAATACAAAAATTAGCCGGGCGTGGGAGCACGCACCTGTAATCCCAGCTACTCAGGAGGCTGAGGCAGGAGAATCACTTGAACCTGGGAGGCAGAGGTTGCAGTAAGCGGAGATCACACCACTGCACTTCAGCCTGGGCGACAGTGCGAGACTCTGTCTCATAAGTAAGTAAGTAAGTAAATAAATAAATACCCAAAACAAAAAAAGAGTAATCGGCAGGGCGCGGTGGCTCAAGCCTGTAATCCCAGCACTTTGGGAGGCTGAGACGGGTGGATCACGAGGTCAGGAGATTGAGACCATCCTGGCTAACACGGTGAAACCCCGTCTCTACTAAAAAATACAAAAAACTAGCCGGGTGAGGTGGCGGGCGCCTGTAGTCCCAGCTACTCAGGAGGTTGAGGCAGGAGAATGGTGTAAACCTGGGAGGCGGAGCTTGCTGTGAGCTGAGATCTGGCCACTGCACTCCAGCCTGGGGGACAGAGCAAGACTCCGTCTCAAAAAAAAAAAAAGAGGAAAAGCTGTGAACTATCTCCAGCTATGTCAGGCTGACTTACTTGACTGCTTTAAATCACACTAAACTTACTCTTTCTGAACTGATATGAGAGTACTGATCTTAACCATGGTAAAACCTCAACTAAAACAAACATAGGACTGTTCCATCCTGAATACTTTTCCAAATAACTGGTTTATCCAATTAAGTGCAAAATATCTTCATTTTGCTTCAAAGTAGAAATTGCTCAAAAAAGTGCTATTCATTTCCTGTAGATTATACAGTGGAAAGAGCACCATTGAAAGTCAGTGAGACTTAGCTAGATTCATCTCTGGAGTATGGCTTTGGATAAACTACTTATCTCTAAGTCTGACTCTGTCTTCTGTAAGTGGACATACTACCTTCCTGCCTACTTCTTAGGATCCAATAAGATACTGTAGGTGAAATGTTTTGCAAATTCAAAAGTGTTTTGCACATTTAAGATACCAGTGTTTGGCCAGGGTGCACAGTGACGTACTCCTGTAATCTCAGCACTTTGGGAGATTGAGGCAGGAGGTCTGTTTGAGTCCACAAGTTCGAGGCTGCAGTGAGCAGTGACTGAGCCACTGTACTCCAGCCTGGGCAAGATAGCAAGACCCTGTCTCTAAAAAAAATTTGTGGCCAGGTGCAGTGGCTCACGCCTGTAATCCCAGCACTTTGGAAGGTCGAGATGGGTGGATCACAGTTCGAGACCAGCCTGGCCAATATGGTGAAACTCCGTCTCTGCTAAAAATACAAAAAAATTAGCCAGGCGTGGTGGCACATGTAATCCCAGCTACTCAGGAGGCTGAGTCAGAAGAATTGCTTGAATCCGGGAGGTGGAGGTTGCAGTGAGCTGAGATTGCGCCACTGCACTCCAGCCTGGGTGACAGAGTGAGACTCCATCTCAAAAAAAAAGAAAGAAAATGTTTTTTTGGCCAGGTGCAGTGGCTCACGCCTGTAATCTCAGCAGTTTGGGAGGCTGAAGTGGGTGGATCACAAGATCAGGAGTTCAAGACCAGCCGGCCAAGATGGTAGAAACCCCGTCTCTACTAAAAATACAAAAATTAGCCAGGCATGGCAGTGGGTGATTGAAATCCCAGCTAGTCAGGAGGCTGAGGCAGAGAATCTGCTGAACCTGGGACGCAGAGGTTGCAGTGAGCTGAGATCGTACCACTGCACTCCACCCTGGGCAACAGAGTGAGACTCTGTCTCAATTGAAAAAAAAAAAAAGAGAGAGAAAATAAAAGACCTCCCCAAGAATGAAGTAAATGAACATTATAACATGTGACTCTTATGTTACTACCATTTTCCCCTCATATCCTGGTTTTGGATATGTTTTGACTTTATTCTTTCAGCACATATTTATTGAGCACAGTATGTGCCAAGCACTATGCAGACACTAAAACATAATCTGAGCTCAGTGGGTAGACAGTTAATAAAATCACAAATTACAGATGGGTGCTATGGCTCATGCCTGTAATCCCTGCACTTTGGGAGGCCAAGATGGGCAGATAGCTTGAGGCCAGGAGTTCGAGACCAGCCTGGTCAACATGGCGAAACCCTGTCTCTACTAAAAATTCAAAAATTAGCCAGGTGTGGTGGCGGTGTAATCCCAGCTATCAGGGAGGCTGAAGCAGGAGAATCACTTGAATGTGAAAGGCAGAGGCTGCAGTGAGCTGAAATCGTGTCACTGCACTCCAGCCTGGGCGACAGGGACAGAGCAAGACTCTGAGAAAGAAAGAAAAGACAGAAAGAGAGAGAGAGAGAGGGAGGGAGGGAGGGAGGGAGGAAGGAAGGAAGGAAAGAAGGAAGGAAGGAAGGAAGGAAGGGGAGTTTGAAACTGGAGAGGAAAACAGGTGAAGACTAGGTAGCAGAATTCTGAATCCAGAAGTTATTATTGTATTTGCATCTTCTTATATTTTTATTCCCTTTATTCTTTTTCTTTTCGTTTCTTTTCTTTTCTTTTTTTTTTTTTGGAGACACAGTCTCACTCTATCACCAGGCTGGAGTGCAGTGGCACTATCTCGGCTCACTACAACCTCTGCCTCCCTGGTTCAAGCGAATCTCCTGCCTCAGCTTCCCGAGTAGCTGGGACTACAGGCGCGCGCCACCATGCCCAGCTAATTTTTATATTTTTAGTAGAGACAGGGTTTCACCAGGTTAGCCAGGATGGTCTTGATCTCCTGACCTCAGGTGATCCACCCACCTTGGCTTCTCAAAGTGTTGGGATTACAGGCGTGAGCCACCACGCCCAGCCTGGAGCAACTTTTTTAAAGCTTGCTGTGATCTGATCTTTTTCCTTCTTCACTTATCTCTCAAACAACCTACATTCCAGACATATATCACCACTTCCTGAGAATGTCCTGTATTACGTTGTCCAGACATATATCACCACTTCCTGAGAATGTCCTGTATTACGTTGTTTTCCTGTATGTGCTTACGCCGTCCCCATCATCTGGGACTTCTTCCCTATCTCTGGCTATTAAGTAGTTGAATCTATCTTTCCAAGCCCTATCATAATTAAGCTTTCAAAATTATTTAAATCCCCATTAAAGTTAATGGCATTGTTTGACTAGTATTACTGTTATTTATGCTTAAGGTTATCTCCCTGGCCAGATTCCCTGTAAGATTCTTGATGGCAAGTGTTTTTGTCTCATTCAACAACTGTGACTTCCAGCATGGGTGCAGTGGCTCACACCTGTAATCCCAACACTTTGGGAGGCGAAGGTGGGAGGATTGCTTGAGCCTAGAAGTTCAGCCTGGACAACAGAGTGAGACCTTCCTCTCTACAAAAAAAAAAAAAAGGAAGGCCTGGTGGTGTGCACCTCTGGTCCCAGCCACTAGGGAGGCTGAAGTAGGAAGATCTCTTGACCTCACGAGGTCAAGGCTGCAGTCAGCTGTGATGATGCCACTGCACTCCAGCCTGGGCAACAGAACCCTATCTCAAAAACAAAACAACAAACAAACAAACAAAACTCAATTGTGACTGCTCCTCATTTTGTATCCCTTTAGCAGCTACAAAGCTCACCCTGCGGCATGCAGTGGCTCACACCTGTAATCTTAGCACTCTGGGAGGCCAAGGTGGATCACCTGTCAGGAGTTTGAGACCATTCTGGCCAACATGGTGAAACCCTGTCTCTACTAAAAATACAAAACAAGCTGGGCATGGTGGCACATGCCTGTAATCTCAGCTACTTGGGAGGTTGAGGCAGGAGAATCACTTGAACCTGGGAGGCAGAGCTCGCAGTGAGCCGAGATCATGCCTTTGCACTCCACCCTGGGCTACAAGAGCAAAACTCCGTCTCAAAAAATAAAAAGCAGCTCAGTAGGCTTGTTCCTCTGGGCTAGTGATTCAGTGCTGTGCTGGCACCTGCTGGTCACCTGTGGTGCAGCAGCCCTGGTCCCAGCACCTTCCTCCCTTCAGTATTAAGGGTTGTGACAGTCTGTGCCCTTACCTAGCAATCACTGGGATAATATATTAAATACTCGCCCCACAGCACCACCTTTCAATCTGCAGAACTTTTCCCACTAGCTTCCTACCCCAGAAATTTGGACTTTACATCCTTCCCAGTACTGCAGAAATATAAGGACAGGATATCCAGGAACTGGGCAGCAAGAAAAGAAAGAAGCAATGTGAGAGTAGAGGATGCAAATCCCTTTTCCCCCTTCAAAGAATCAAGACTGTTTCCAACAGAATTCCACTCTTTTTGACTTTTGTCTTATTTCTGGGTTGCTCTTGGGCCAGAGGCCTTCTTGGAGACAGTAGTGATGAACCGGAGGTTGAGCAGAGAGTAGGTAGGCGGGGCTCAAGGGGTGGGGCCAAGCCAAAGGGCTCTCACACTAAGTGAAGCTTCTCCATTCTGTAAGCTTTCCCGGAACATCCAAGGCAAGACTGGCACCCAGCACAGCAGGTGAGGGACCGGCAGTGACAGAATGGTAGACTTTAGGGGTAATGGTGGCAGAGGAGTCTCCAGTTCTTTCAGTCTTAGCTTTTCATATTGTGAAACCCTTGCTTGTACAATTCTTGGGTCCTTTGTAGAACTTAACTTAGTTTTTCTGGTGGCAAGGCAGCCTCTGAACGACCTGGTTTTGGATGCAGTGGGGGCAGGGCTGAGGGATGCAGGTGGATCCATATCTGTATGGATGTGTGTGAAATGCAAGGAAGTCTTAGGAGACAAGGAGATGGACGGGTAAGGGCCAGAGGGAGAGTATGGCCAGGCCAGAGGATTATAGGGAGGACCCAGACAAGAGAAAAAGGGAGACTGAAACAGGGAGAGAGGGAGAGGACAGCGGAACAAATGTGAGACGGCAATGGGGGCAATGGAGAGCTGGGTAACAGGAAGGCCAAGGAGGAAGGAAGGCTCACATGGAGCAATCTCCTCTTCCGGCTGGGGAACATGGTCCAGAAAGCCCCAAGGCAAGCTGGGAGCAAAGCAAGGTTCATGTTTCCACTGGAAGGATTCAGCTGAGGAAGAAACCCCCTCAGTCCCTACCTCCCCTGCCTCTTTAGACTCCCATTTTGGTTTGGGGGAGAGGGCGAGGCTGCTCCTCACTGCGGTCACAGCCACATCCTGCAGAGCAGGGGAGGGGGAAGTAAGAAGCAAAACAACCAGAAGAACCACAGGCAAAGACCATGGGGAGAGAACCCTGGACACATGGAGCTGATATGCCGCCAAGAAGGTCCTGAGTTCAGTGTAGCAGAAGGCTCAGACCTTCAGGACTGCCTGCCCTTCTTGAGGTGCTGGTTTCTTGTGCTTCCTCAGTTGGCTTTAACCACACTGGGAACATTCTGGGGAAACAGGTTTCTCTGGATTATTTGGTTTGAAGCCCATCTTTATCATTTACTAGTGACTTTGGCCAAATTGCTAAATTTCTCTTAGCTTCAGTTTTCTCACTGCAAAATGGGAATACCTACCTTAACCTTATACAGGATTCGGAAGACTAGATGACTGACATAAAGCACTTGGCACATAGTAGGTTCTCAGTAAATGTTAGTTATTACTCCTATTAGGATTCCTGGGATGCTTATGCTTCTTACTTTAAAGGAAGTACAGTGCAATAGCTGCCACTGGCTTTGGGGGCCAAAAAATGAGTTGTGTTTGATCTTGGGTAAATTATTTAATGTAAGTATCATTTGCTCAGCTGTAAAACAAGGATGGTAATACCTATACCACACAGACATATGGCACAAAGTCAGTGTCCAAAAATGGTAGCTGTAAGAATTCTGTCAGGCTGGGCGTGGTGGCTCACACCTATATTCCCAGCACTTGGGGAGGTCGAGGTGGGTAGATCACGAGGTCAGGAGATCAAGACCAGCCTGGCCAACATGGTGAAACCCTATCTCTACTAAAAAATACAAAAATTAGCCGGACATGGTGGTGGGGGCCTGTAATCCCAACTACTTGGGAGGCTGAGGCAGGAGAATAGCTTGAACTCGGGAGGTGGAGGTTGCAGTGAACAGAGATCACACCCCTGCACTCCAGCCTGGGTGACAAAGCAAGACTCCGTCTCAAAAAAAAGAATTATCTGTCAGGTAAGCCCTGTCTTCACTGCAGCAGCAACAGCCTACTTCCCCTTGAGATGTAACTTGTGCTAGGCTAGCCTCCCGTGTGCCCACATTCCTCCAGCCGGAGCTATCGCCACTCCCATGGGCTGTTTTGGAGTCAAGATTTGCTACAGCACTAAGGGGAAAAAGCAGGAGAAAGGCATAGAGGACTGAGGGGCCCCAGGGGGCGGGGAGGATGACAAACAAAGATGATGATGACATGGAAACTAAAGAAGCAACAGAAAGGGGAAAAGTCATTTCTCTCTTTCTAAGGAAGCCTGTGGCCTTTCTTCTAGTGACTGACCACATACCCCACTCTCCAGGACCCATGGAGTCCTTCAGCTCAAAGAGTCTGGCACTGCAAGCAGAGAAGAAGCTGCTGAGTAAGATGGCAGGTCGGTCTGTGGCTCATCTCTTCATAGATGAGACAAGCAGTGAGGTGCTAGATGAGCTCTACCGTGTGTCCAAGGAGTACACGCACAGCCGGCCCCAGGCCCAGCGCGTGATCAAGGACCTGATCAAAGTGGCTGTCAAGGTGGCTGTACTGCACCGCAATGGCTCCTTTGGCCCCAGTGAGCTGGCCCTGGCTACCCGCTTTCGCCAGAAGCTGCGGCAGGGTGCCATGACGGCACTTAGCTTTGGCGAGGTAGACTTCACCTTCGAGGCTGCTGTTCTGGCTGGCCTGCTGACCGAGTGCCGGGATGTGCTGCTGGAGTTGGTGGAACACCACCTCACGCCCAAGTCACACGGCCGCATCCGCCACGTGTTTGATCACTTCTCTGACCCAGGTCTGCTCACAGCCCTCTATGGGCCTGACTTCACTCAGCACCTTGGCAAGATCTGTGACGGGCTCAGGAAGCTGCTAGATGAAGGGAAGCTCTGAGAGCCCTGAGTCTAGCACATTCCACTTTGACAAAATGGCTGACTGAGAAAACACAGATAATGAGCTTCCTAACCCTGCTCAGCTGCCACTAACGCTTTTCAATCTTCAGGCTTCGTTCCTTCCCAAGAGTGCTTTTGACTCTGAGACCAGCCCATCCCCAAACAGCTGGTGGAGAAGGAGCAATGCTGAGGGGTGAGGCCTCTCTCCCACTCCAGCCCCAGGACAGGAAACAGAACTGCCTGAAAAAGGTGAAGTGAAACTTGGATCTCTATTTCTCCCATAAGGGACTTCTGAAACAGGGAAGCCCCCTCCCATGTGAACCAAGGAAAGGAGGCACAGCCCAGAGAACCCCTCTGGGGACACTAAAGACAGAAGAGGGGAAGGTGGCCCTTAGAAACAGAGCTTGGACAGATGCCAGAGGCTGTGTTCCAGAGTGCAGGAGGAAGGGGCTAGGGCAGGGGAGATTCTCATAGGGGAAATAAAACTACTAGAATATGCACAGGGCTCAATGTTTAATCTGTCCAGCTTCGTATACCTTATAGTCATCACAGAAGAAAGGAGGTATATAAACACCACTTCTCTCACCTTTCATCATTTCCAAACAGGAGACTGAGGGAGATTTCCATTATTATTGAGGTTCCCTTACCTACTTCTGTTTGAGAAACAAACAAAACTGTACCATAGATCAGTGCTACAAATCGCAAATAAATATGCAGTGAGGAGGAAGGCATAGAGAGAGAGGGTCTGGAGGGGTGGGGGCGTAACAAAGAGACTCTCACAACTAGCTTCCTCTTCAAACCCCAAGGAAAGCCTCCTTCCATCTGTTCCTCTCACCACAGGCTGAGCAGAACAGGTCAGAAGGGTGAACTGGTAGAATGGAGGGTTCAGGTCCCTACAGTGCTGCTTTTTCTCAGGGTCAAGAATTGTGAAAAAGTGACAGGGAACTGGTTAGTCAGACTGAGCCCATTCAACAGGAATGGGGTACCAAAAAAAAAATACTCAGTTCAAATCTGTCCCTTTAAGATTGGAGAAAAGGCCAGCAGTCATCCATTCTCTGCGGTAGGCTAGGTCACCGATTGCCTCATCCTCAATCCCATGTCTGGCCAACAAGGTGGGGAAGGTGGAGAACCAGCACTCACTGGCTCACTGTTCCCGGGTTCTCTTCACCCCAGGGCTATAGAAATTCCATTTTTTAGCTAAGAGTGGGAAGGAATAAAATATAGCAAATAAATATTACTTCAATATTAGCACCAAATAAATTATGTCACATAGGTGGAGATGAGGAAGAAGCTGAGGGGGAGTCTCTGCTTCCCTGTTCTAAGGCCAGGGAATGGTAAAAAGGATAGGAAAGGCAACAGGGATATAAAAAGAGCCTTTTGAGTCTAAAGGACTCAACTCTAGATTCAGCCCAAGAACTGGGAAAGTCCAGTTCCCATTCCCTAATCTTGCCAATAAAACTGCCCTAGGCCAAGGAATTTTTGGCGGACAAGGAGGCTGGGGAAGATGGCTGGAGTGGAGGGAGGCAGGCAGGCTGGTAAGCCATGTTTTTGAGCCTCACCTCAGGCTCCTCTCCCCCTGAAGTTTCTCCTTCAACATCTTGCTTCTCTCAGTCAGTTCTGGGGACATCAGAGTTTGAAGATTTCATCCTCCTGGTCCCGTAGTGTCCGGGTCCGAGAGGTACGGGTCAGCGGCACGGGACCTAGGACTGCTCGTTGCTGCATCCGAGGGGAGCTCAGGTGGAGACCTGCATCCTCCCCAGGTACCCTGCAAGTGAGGAAAGGGGGGAAAGAGTGACAGATCAAGGGAAGAACCTCACAATGGGCTAAGTGAGAGGTACATGGAAAGCTGTCTTCTAATACATAAGCTGGTTGCTTCAAGACAGTCTCAATACCTTCTAGATAAATCCTAACCCTAATGCTCCTTCATGGATGACCAGAGCAGTAAAAACAGTTAACTGTCGGCTGGGCATGGTGGCTCACGCCTGTAATCCCAGCACTTTGTGAGGCTGAGGCGGGCAGGTCATGAGGTCAGGAGATCGAGATCATCCTGGCTAACACAATGAAACCCCGTCTCTACTAAAAACACAAAAAATCAGCCAGGCACAGTGGTGGGTGCCTGTAGTCCCAGCTACTTGGGAGGCTGAGGCAGGAGAATGGCATGAACCCAGGAGGCGGAGCTTGCACCACTGCACTTTAGCCTGGGCAACACAGCGAGACCCCATCTCAAAAAAAGTCAACTGTCTGACTCCAATAAGAACATAGAAACCAGTTTTCCACTGCCTCTACCTGTGTCAGCAGGCATCGTCTCTGCTCATTGCTTTGGGGCCACATGGGGGAAAGGTATCACCTTGCCTCTGTTGGCACTGTGCTTACTTACTTGTGCTTGTGGTTAGGTAAGATAGGAAGAATGGAGGAGTCTAGGGAGGAACTTATAAGGAACCATTCAACACTCACCCACTTTCCCCTTTTTTCAGCTTCTGGGCAGCAGCCTTCTTGGACAGGCTGATCTGTGAATCAAGCTTCTTAAGGAAATCAGAGGCAGAGAGGTCATGGATGGGCGTGGGGGTTTCCTGGCCAGGTGTGGGGAAGACTTCACCATTGGCACGTCCTGCTCCTGTCTCTTGTTTCTTCCTCTCAGTTGAGTGTGGCCAAACTTCATCGTTACTTGGGTATACTTCTTCCTCTCCATCTTTCTCTTCCTCAGAATCCAAACCATTGAACAGGTCTCTGGGCTCTGTCAGGATGGGGATGTAGAGGGTTTTCTTCAGGAAGATGGAGTCATTAGTATAAAGGCGGTTTGCACGTTTAATCTGTTCCATCTTAAAAAAAAAAAAAAAAAAAGAGTCAACAAAATTAAGGACAGTAATAATAATCAATCTTACATTGCATCTTGAGCTTTTTAAAGTGACTGCACAGAGTCTTCTTTGATTCCATAACAACCAAGCTGAAGTACAAAGGGCTGACATTATTTCTATTTTATAGATGAGTGGTTTTCATACTTTTTGGTTTTAGGGCCCCCTTACATTTTAAAAACTTATTGTGCAAGCTGGGCGCAATGTCTGATGCCTGTAATTCCAGCTACTCAGGAGGCTGAGGCGGGAGGACAGCTTGAGCCCAGGAATTAGAGTCCAGCCTGAGCAATACAGTGAGACCCCATTTCTAAAAATAAAAAAATAAAATAAAAATAAATGAATAAATAAATAAAAATGAAGGAACTGAGGCTCAGAGAGGTTAAGCTACTTGCCTGAAACTATCTATCAAGTTAATGACACAGCTAGAACGACAATCCTGGGTCTTTTCACTGCTTCTGGGAAAAGTTTTCACACTATACTATTAACAATGTCGGAGGCCGGGCACGGTGGCTCAAGCCTGTAATCCCAGCACTTTGGGAGGCCGAGACGGGTGGATCACGAGGTCAGGAGATCGAGACCATCCTGGCTAACACAGTGAAACCCCGTCTCTACTAAAAAATACAAAAAACTAGCCGGGCGAGGTGGCAGGCGCCTGTAGTCCCAGCTACTCGGGAGGCTGAGGCAGGAGAATGGCGTAAATCCGGGAGGCGGAGCTTGCAGTGAGCCGAGATCTGGCCACTGCACTCCAGCCTGGGCAACAGAGCGAGACTCTGCCTCAAAAAAAAAAAAAAAACAATGTCGGTAATAAATATTTATTTTGACCTATCTATTCATCACTGGACCTAGTGACTGGCATCACCATCTATTTGCCTGGCCCTCCAAGGTAGAAACATCAATGTCATCCTTAACTAATACTTGCCTTTCATCACCATACCAAGTGGTCAACAAAACTGCTTCAAAAATCTCTCACATCTGGTCTCATCTTCAGGCCTATTGCCAAAGATTTAAAATAGACCCGAAGTATTTCTCATCTGGGGTTACTGCAACAGTTTAACTGGCCTTCCTTGCTCTTTTTCTACTCATCCTCCTCTTGGCATCTATCTTTCTAAAAAAATAAATCTGATTAACCCACTACCCTGCTTATAAACCTCCTATGGGTTCCTCATTGGCTAAAGATAAAAACCAAATTAGCATTCAAGGGCTTTCTCAATCCAGCTCCCAAAGGAAATGTCTAGATTAATCTCCCTTTGCCACCTCTACATTTTGCTATCCTGAACTTTTTATTTTTCTTTGAACATTCCATGATCTTTTTCACACTTTATTCATGCTGTTACTTCTGCCTGAAATGCTCCTGCCCCTCTACTATCCCATTCTCTGCTTGGAAAACTTCTATTCATCAACCACCACTCCCTTTGTGTTACCTTCTTCAGGACTCCTAATGCATACTGTAAATATTGCTATAATCATACATAACCCTACTATAATATTATTCACCTCTTTAAATATTTGCTTTGCCTAAACCCTGAGTCCTTTATGGGCAAGGACTGTGACTTGCCGTCTCTGTATCCCTAGGCAGTCGTTAGCATCCTACAGACCTTGACACATAGCAGGGGCTCATTAATGCTTTATTTAAAAATTATTAATCATAATTATCTAATTATTATAATAATTAGATAATGAAATCTAGAAACTACAGATATAGTATATTAGTATTTTTTTTCTTCTTTTTTTTTTTTTGGAGACAAGGTCTCACTCTATTGCCCAGCCTGGAGTGTAGTGGCACAATCTCAGTTCACTGCAACCTCTGCCTCCCGGGCTCAAGTGATCCTCTGCCTCAGCCTCCCCAGTAGTTGGGATTACAGGCATGTGCCATCACGCCCAGCTAATTTTTGTATTTGTTGTAGAGATGGGGTTTCACCACATTGCCCAGGCTGGTCCTATACTCCTGAGCTCAAGCAATCCACCTGCCTCAGCCTCCCAAAATGCCGGGATTACAGCACAGGCATGAGCCACCACGCCTGGCCAACCCCAGCCCCTTTCCAACTAAAATTTTAATCTTTCTAATTTCCTATCCGTTTTTTATTTTGAGACAGAGTCTCGCTCTGTTGCCCAGGCTGGAGTGCTGGAGTGCAGTGGTGCGATCTCAGCTCATCACAACCTTCACCTCCCAGGTTCAAGCAATTCTTCTGCCTCAGCCTCCTAAGTAGCTGGGATTTCAGGCGAGCACCACCACGCCTGGCTAATTTTTGTATTTTTAGTTGAGACAGTGTTTTGCCATGTTAGCCAGACTGGTCTTGTACTCATAACCTTAGGTGATCCACTTGCCTCAGCCTCCCAAAATGCTAGGATTACAGGGGTGAGCCACCATGCCTGGCCCTGATTCTTTGTTAATACCTTTACAGATTCACCACATTCTGTCACTTGTAATCATTATTTGTGTACCTGTTCATTTCTCATTAGGCCATAAATTACATGAGGACAGCAATCATATAGTTTAAGTTTCTATCTCCCAGAAAAGTTATCACAGTGCTTTAAATGTTGGCTAAAGCATAAAAATGTTGGCTAAATTCAACATTTGCTTGAGTGAGATGGAACAAGAAAACAGGGGTAGGGGTAGGCAGAGTAACCTCATCAACTTCAATGCTATACATTTTTACATCTATCCAATTTCCCCCATGCATGACCTGAAATACTTGGTGTAGAGTACCTGTTTTGTGCCAGGGAAGCCGCCTTACTAGAAAGAAGGCAGAGCATTGAGGAGGAACCAAGAGCAAGGAGAGGTAGGCACTTTAGGAACTGAGAACTAAAAATAAGCTCTCCATTATTTGCTGTAAACGTTTAATCACTCTCAATGTAAAATTTTCTGTGTGGTTTATAAAGTCAGACAGACCTGTTTGAATCCCATATCTGACACTCATTATTTGACCTTAGTCAAAATGGTTAACCAATCCAAGTCTCAGCTTCTTCATCTCCCAAAAGGGAACAATAAATGTATACTTGATATGGACATGAGGGTGAAATGAGCTAACGTATGTGAAGCCCCTAGCACAGTGTCTGGCATGATAA